TCTGATTCTGCTACTTCTGCCAAAGAAGCTACTTAGCAGAAGCTATTTCTGCTACTTCCACTTTTTGACGTTAGGCAAAAAACCTTGTATCTAGATTTCCTAATCTGGAAAGTGGAGATGACAATGGTAATTGCTTCATGAAGGCTGTCATGAATAAATTGGGGGTAATGCATTTATAGCCCCTTAAGAACAGAGCCTAATAGAGAATAAGCCCTCAAAATATTCTTCCCCTTTGTTTCTTGCCTTCTGGTTTTCCCTTTTGTTTCTTATCTACTCTTCTCTACTGTCAGATGAACAAGTAAATGTATCTGGATTGGAGTGAATATTCAAAGTTTAAGAATGAGGTTATTTTCTCTAAACTCAAGTCCTTTCATAATTCTGGATAAAGAATATTTTAACAATATTTGTATGTTTTGTGGGTTAGGGTCAGTTATATAATCTCTTGTAGTAAGTGGATTATCTACTTAAATATAATAATACAAATATTACGTCAGAATAGTTTCACAAGGCTTAAACATGAAAATATAAAAGTGCATTGATTAAAGTACAATTAAAAAGAACACGGTATCAATATATTTTTATCTTTAGATATTAAAAGCATTATTTCTTTACTAATTCAAGCACACTTACCTGAGGGTCTTCTGGATTGGTGTACACCTATTTAAAAATAATTTACAATTGAATTACTGAGATTAAGGACTGAGGACTAAGTAAACTGGATATTTAGACTAACATATTTAGTGAACTCAACAGAACAAAACAAGAACAAAATAACCCCCCAAATAATATACTTTTTTCCCATTGAACAGATCAACTATTTGAATAAAGTAACATAATCAATTGATAGTTTCACTGTTGTTTAATGAAGAAAGGCTGACCTTAATAGTCTTTAATTTAAAAATATATAAAATTATGGGGCTCAGAATGTAGCTCAGAGGCACAGCATTTGCCAGGCAAGTGTGAGGCTCTGAGTTCAATTCCCTGTGCCCCCCCCAAAATAAAATATATACAATTTAAAAGTACTTACAGCTAGAATGACCATCCTTAGCTGAAATAAAGAACAAAAACCTTTTATTCTATAAAAGTTTTTCGTTATGATTCATAAAAAATTATCTGTCCTATTTTAGGGGCTAGGGATGTAGCTCAGTGACAGAGCACATGCTTAGCATGCACAAGGCCCTGGGTTCAATCCCTTGCACCCCTTCCCAAAGAAAATTCTTTGTCCTTTTTCAATATCTATTCTTTTTTTTGGTACCGGGGATCGAACTCGGGACTTTGTGCTTGTGAGGCAGGCAGCGGAACCACTGAGTTAAATCCCTGGCCCATAAGTAAAGGTGTTTTTGTTTGTTTGTTTGTTTGTTTGTTTGTTTTTATGATTTTCTACTTGTAACTTTCAAATGGCTTTTCTTTGCACCTGAAATAAAATCCAACCTCCTTACCTACACAGCATTGAATATTCTGGCCCTGTCTACCTCCCCATGGTCATCTGATGCCACTGCACAACTGCTCTCAGTGTACTGGCCTTAGCTGGTTTCTAGAACTCTCTAAACTCCTCTACAACTCTCATGCTCTGCTGAGAATATTCTCTCCCCAAACTAATACTTGGCTGGTTTCTTCTCATCCGGGTCTCAGCTTAAATATCATCCCTTCAGAGAATCTCCGACCATATCATCTAAAACTAACCCACCACTGTATGTATCATATACTTTTCCTACAAATTTTAACAGCATCTAACACTACTGGGAAGTACCCAATTGTTTTACTGACTATTTTCTTACATTAGATGGGACTCCCTTTGTTATGGTGACCACTGTTATCTCACCCTGTTCCTACCTTGAGAACGTGCCTAGCACACAGCAGGCACTCAGTTTTTTGTTTTTGTTTTTTTTTTTGGTAGCGGGGATAAAACTCAGGACCTTGCGCTTATGAGGCAGGCACCTGGCCATTGAGCTAAATCCCAGTCCCAGCACTATTTATTATGCCTTAAAATAGGGAAGATTAGGAACTATGGATATTCACCTTCACAACTTTGCTAGAATTGGACTTTTTTATACATGTATGAAATTACACTAAGGAAAAAGGCTCATAGTCTATTATAAAACCTTCTTAATTTCACTAATTCAGAATTCGTGAAAATTAAACCTAGACTACATAGAAATTTATTTTTGAGCCGGGCATGGTGGTGCATTCCTGTAATCTCAGCACTCAGAAAGCAGAGGGAGGAGGCTCACTGAGTTCGAAGCCAGCCTGGGCTACACCGTAAGTTCAAGGCCAGCCTGAACTACACAGAGAGGCCTTGTCTCCAGAAAAAAAAAAAAGAAAAGAAAAAAGAAAATTTATTTTTGAACCTTAATTAAAAATAATTTATTAAATTATTAACACAAGAAAGATTATAGAAGGCATGTAAAACTAATGGATGAACTATTTTAAGACTTAACTAATTATTTTTTAAAGTCCATATGTGCTATCAATATCAATGAACATTAACAAAAACTACCTTGGCACATGTGTTTACTACTGGTTCCATTAGCTTTAAATGAACTGAAGATTAATCTTTAAAATATTAAAATGTTCAGACTTTTCAGTAACTCAAACTGGCCTATGTCTGTTTATTTATTTATTTATGGTACTGGCGATCTAACTCCAAACCTTGCACTTTCGAGCCAGGTGGCGGCACCACTGAGCTAGATCCCTAGCCCTGTCTATGTTAGTTTAAATTAATGCTTTACTGGATATTAATCAGGCTTAGACAGTATAAAGTATAGAAAAAAGATAAAGAGATATTAACTTACATATTTTTTCTGTAGAGCATCATAACATCCTAGCATCCTAAAAAGAAAACATCAAAGATTCATTTTTAAACTGAATGCATTCTAGAAAATAGCGTTCACAAATTTCCATTATCTTATTACTAAAATTTCCTTTCTTTCTTATTAACTATCTTGAAAAAAAACATGCATTTCAGTGGTATAGTGCTTGCCTACCATGCACAAAGCCCTGTGTTCAATCACCAGCACTACAAAAAGAGAGAGAGAGAGAGAGAGAGAGAGAGAGAGGAAAAAAGAAAAAGAAAGAAAGAAGAAAGAAAAAAAGAAAGACAGACAAATAGATGGATGGATGAATGAGTGTTGGGATGATGGTGCAAGCCTATAATCCCAGCACTCTGGAAGGCTAAGGGAGGAGGATCATGAGTTTGAGCCCAGATTGGGCAATTTAGTAATTTGACAAGATCCTGCCTCAAAACAAAAAATAAAAAGGGGCGGGAATGTAGTTCAGTGGTAGAGTACCTCTGGGTATAATCCCTAGTACTGCAGAAAAGAAAAGAAAAGATAAACAGTGTGGCGGAAATATAAAATGATGACAGGGGATAGAGGGGACATATAAAACATCTGACAGCTATATGTGGGGAGCAATAGAAAATAAAGACTGCTCACATGGGATATGAGATGAAGGGAAATTTTAATATAAGAATTCAAAGATCTGCAAGACTGCTGCCCAGCATTAAATGGTGAATCACTAAAATTTGGTTAAACATTGAAAAGTATCTAATGTATAAAGTTATCCAATTTAGAAAAATAATTTTCCATTTTTAAGTATTTTTTTCCTTACCATTTCACTAACTGTGTAGATCCTGGACAATTTTTATCTTCTCTCAGAATTTTGACACAAAGATCTAAAAAACAAGACAAATACAGAGTTATTTAAGAACAGTAAACAACTAGAAATTTTAAGCAAAGATTATTTTCTTCAGCTGTGTATTACAGGTATATTATTAATGGCAAGGAACTTCCAAATGATTGATATTAATGTAATGAAAGGAAGAAAGGTTATATAGAAAGTCTTTTTATCCTTTTTATAAAATGTCATCATAATATAATTATGTTGATAAGTAGAAAAATTTTCATTAAAAATTATAGGATACAGAATATTAGATATAATGCTTTCATACTATTGTTGTCCAAGAGTCTTAGAAAATTTGTTACCCCAGCAAAATACTTATAATTGCCAAGAAGTTAACTGGTTGTCAAAGAACTCTGGAAAGATGCAACATGTCATGCAATGGAAAGGACAAAGGGCATCCCTTGACCTCAGGTTTCTTATTTCAAAAATAGGGGCAACAACTGCTTCACAGGACTATAATATGAATTAACAAGATAGTGTCCATAACAGTACTTAACAAACTGCCCAGTACAGAGTTGCTGCACAATATTACTCATGTATTATATGCTGAGAAATATCAGTTGTATTATTTTACTTCCTTAAAATAGCACAAGAACATACACTACCACTATACAAAGTCATAACAGAATATCTGTATCTGTTTAATCACTAAAAGTATAATGTCAGGTGAAATTATATTTGAGAAACAATTTACAATAAGTGCATTTAAAGGTATTAAATATATTTTTTTTGGTTCTGGGGATATTAAATATACTCTAAAAAATTTATTTATTTAGTAGTACTGGTGATTAAACACAGGGCCTTTGCAGTGATAAATATCTCTAGCCCTTTAAAATTTTTTTTGAGACAGGATCTCGCTAAGTTACTACATTTCCTAGGGTGGGCTCAAACTTACAATTCTCCTGCCTCAACCTCCCAAAAAGCTAGGATTACAGAAGTATGCCAGTTCACTCAGCTAAATATCTTTTTTAAAATGTAGAGAGCTAAAGATGTAGCTCAATGGTACAGCACTTGCCTAGAATGGAATCCCTAACACCTCAAAAAAAATTTTAGAAACCCAAAAGCTTGAGCATGAATGTGAAATTATATAAACTAGTAAAAAGTGGAAACAACACAAATGCTCATCAATTGATGAGTGGTAGTCACACATGGAACTTTATTCAACAATGAAAATGGCCAGAGCAGGCCAGGGATTTAGCTCAGTGGCACTGCACCTGCCCTCACAAATGCAATGTCCCGAGTTTGATCCTGGGTACCAAAAAAAAAGAAAAAGAAAAAGGATGGTGGACTAATCCATGTTCTAACATGGAAGAACCTTGAAAACTTTATGCTAAGTGAAAGAAGTCAGTCACAAAAAAATCACCTACTGTATTATTCCTTTCATATAAAATGCCCAGATTAAGTAAATGTATAGAAACAGAAAATAGATTAGTGGTTACCTAGGACTGGTAAGGTTGGGTGGGGAATGGATAACGACTTAATGGATATAAGATTTCTTTTTAGGGTGATGAAAATGTTCTAAAATTGACGTGATAGTTGCACAACTCTGAACATACTAAAAAATCACTGAACTGTACATTTTAAATGAGTGAACTGTCAGATATGGGTATAGTATTAATAAAGCCACTACTAAAAAAACATGAGCTCTAAGTCAAAACTTAATTTTGGAGCAAGCCTCCCCCCCAAAAAAGAAGCTTAAAATAAACATATTACCATCTAGATATCTTGTTCCATAAGCACACTCTGGAAATATTCCTCTCAAATACGTGATGCAGGATACTGAAACTGCTAGGAGCCTCTTCACTAACACCAAAGACTGCTGCTCAGTTGATATCTTACTGGGAAATATCAATGTACTCTAAAATTCAAGAGAAATTAAAACGTTCTATTTATACTTATTAAAAATAAACCCCCCTGCACTTACAGTAGATCCAATTTTGCACAGACATGGTATTCTCCCAAAGAATTCTTTCCCTAGTGGTTAGTTATCCCTAGAAAAGCAGAGTGGTTTGTAAAATATGAGGGTGTTACTAAGGAGTAATAGCTTAAAGGTAATGTGCAAAAAGTGCTTAAGAACTTCTTGCAGATTAACTGTAAATGCATAAAACATGGACAGATAACATGGATTTTCTCTTTAATTACTGACCAGGTTTTTTTTGAGTCAGGGTCTTGATATATAGCTGAGGCTGGCCTTGAACTCACTATGCAGCCCCAGTTGGCCTTGAACTTGCAGTGATCCTCCTGCCTTAGCCTCCCAAGTGCTGGAATTACAGGTGTATGCCACCATGCCTGATTCATCATTGACTAGGTTTAACACAGGGTAACTGTAATGCAAGATCCTATGTAAATACCACAATTCTATCTATCTCTGAATCATGGATGTTTTCTAAGGATGGACTGTTAAGAATAACTTCATCAAAGCAATGGAACAATATTAATACCTAATGTAAATAAAAATTGGAACAGCAACTTAATGTAATATTCCAAACATTCAATAGACTTCTCTATTCATTAAAAGAGTTTAGAAAATACTTTTTTTTAAAACATGGGGTTTCTGTTATCATTAAACCCTCGAAAAACTGACTCCATATTTCAAAAATATAATTGAGACTTCAAGAAATTATAAAATCACATAGATTTATATATATTAAATACAAGAAATCATACCATTGAAGTCCTCTGCAACTGTGCAGTGGCCATCTTCTTCTGATAAAGTACTTTCTTTAATTCAACCTGTGATACAAATACAAGCTTTAGCTTTAGATCTTAAAAAATATTCTAATTTATTAAAATCAGAATTTTATCTGAATTTGAGATTTTTTTTAAACTTAAAATGAAATCTTCAAAAATCTAGAGGTCCATACTGCTATGCCATTACTTTGAGTTAGGATCTAATTTTAATTCATTGGACTAAAATGTTTCACATAAATGGGTTAAGTTTGTTTTGGTACCAGGGATCAAACTCAGGACCTTGCGCTTGCAAGGCAGGCACTGGAACCACTGAACTAAATCCCTGGCTGGTTAAGATTTTTTTGTGGGGGTGTTGTGATTGAACATAGATCCTCCTGCGTGCTACCACAAGGCTGTAGCCTCTGCCTAAGACACTAGAAGATTAAAAAACAAACATTTTTGAAAATAGAGTCTAGCTACAAACTTCTGAGCTCAAGTGATTCTCCAGCCCCAGCTTTCCAATTAGCTAGTACTATACCCAGCTTTTTATGAAAGCCCAAACTTCCTGTTTTCCTTCACTATACAGTAACCATGCATCCCCAACACTGAACGTCAGGTAGGACAAAGCTGCTCCTGACAAACCCTGTCAAGTCTCCCTTTTTTTCCCTTTTCTCTCAATTTTGAGAGATGCCTGGTTATGGATTCCTGGCTGGCCTCGAACTAGAGATCTTCCTGGTTCATTTCCCAAAGTAGGTGGAATTACAAGTGTGAAACACCACGAAGCACACTTCAAAAATCTTTTAATTTGAAAAAAGTATTCGTTTCAAAATATCCAAATCAGGCGACTTTCCTTCAGCAAGGTTCTAGATATAAATATCGTCTTACTCTGTGGTACAGCTATAAAAAGGCAACAGAAAATACAGTATTCCGAAATGTTATGACCTGATTTCTCTATTAAAAGCTGATATAGGGCCGGGGATGTAGCTCAGTGGCACTGCACCTACCTCGCAAGCGCAAGGTCCTGAGTTCGAGCCCCGGTACCAAAACAAAACTGGTATGTTTCAATCTATTTGGTCCCAGTTTAATTTTCTTAGCTAGTATAATCAAACTTCATAGAAGGGTCTAGTTATTGGATGCGTTTAAATTTGTTCTGATAAATCCTGGACAAGCCCACTCAATTAACCCCATCTTAGGAAGTTCTTGTGAAAAGCAGGTCTACTTTTTTCCCTCAAATATCTCGTCAGTAAGACCTTAAGAAAGTTAAGAGTGGTCAGAAGGCAAAAGAAAAAGATTAAAATGTAAAAAGTAGAAATAATAACCCGAAACAAACATATACATTACGTGAAGCGTAAAGCGAGCCAGCGACGAAACGAACTGCACTAACGCCCCACACGCTTTCCCCAAGGCGCATGCGCTTTCCTTCAACGGTCGCTGGGTCGCGCGTGAGGGGCACGCAACAGCAGCCTTTGACCCCTGGTCGAGGTCAACTTTCCCGCCAAGAGCTGCGCATGGCATGCCGGGAGTCGCAAGGCACACGAGGCTGAGTCGCCCAGTCTAAGCCCTGGGAAAGCCAGGTGCTGGAAGGGAATTTTAAGTAATTGGAGGTGCAAAGCCTTTTGCGTATGCATTCCTTTCCTGTACTGACCAAAATGTACCCAGTCAGCTTTTCTGTATCAATTTCTGATTGTTGTCTGACTTTTGATTTTGTAACTGGGAGTGACACGCGTTGCCTTCCCACCTTCAGGTCTCCTGTGTCCTTTTGGAAGCCGGTTGCTCTAGCGTGGTCTACGCCGTGGGGACAATGGATAGCTATCAAAATAATCTACATCTCATTTAGAAACAAAATCAGAATGGGTTGGTAGTTGCAAATTTTCCAGAAGTATAAGCTTACTTTATGGATTGTTATCTATCCAAATAAACTGTGTCCCTAGTATGTATATGTATATATATACATATATATACACATACAGCATAATTATTCATAAACTTCGATATGTCTTCTTTACAGAGGAAATGGCTACACCAGATATAAAAAGATTTGCCTCAAATCATTCAATTAAAAGATGAGGACTGGAACCCTGTTTTCAGGATCAAAAATAGTGAAGTGAGTATTTTGCTTTCTTTCACAAATGGCTTTCACATTCACTATGTTATTTTTATTTTGCTTCCTACAAGAACTTTGTGAGGAACACACAGATATTATCCCTATTTTATTTATTTCAGTTCTGGGAATTGAACCTTTATTCTAGAGATGAGAAAAGAGACTCAGGCAAAGTTGGTTTCCCAAGATCAAAACAAATTTCAGTAGTAGAGTAGTAGAGTGCTGCTAGGCTCTCACTCTCAAAAAATATATATATTTATGCATAGATGATCATTTTCATTAACTACAAAAAACGAAAAGGAAGACAAGAAACAGTTCAGCTGTTATTCATAGAATCATAATAATATAAACCCTACTTACTGATTTCTGTGTCAGTAGCTATACTTTGAGGATGGGATAGGACTGGAGAAATGGGTGGTGTTGATGCAAGGAATCTAAACCTCAATTATCATATTAGTATGTCTATGCACACCTACTTTTTTGTTTTGGTACCAGGGATCGAACTCAGGACCTCCTGCTTGCCAGGCAGGTGCTATGCTGCTGAGCTACATCCCTGGCCCTATACACACTTTCTTCTTTTTTTTTTTTTGGGGGGGTACCGAGAATCGAACTCGGGGCCTTGTGCTTGCGCAGCAGGCGGTGTAACCACTGAGCCCCCTATACACTTTCTAAGAACCATTAAGTTGGATAATGGCAAAAGAATTAGCATTGATTTAAAAATATTACTGGTTTTTAAAATATTGGATAAGAGAATAGGACAGTAGGCTTTGTAAAAATATTCATCATAAAACAAAACTCAATAATGGACAGTGTCAGTCATACTGCCATCCTGAAAGTGTCTCTGAGTTGTTTAATATGGGCTGTTAGGTACTATAGAGAACGTAACATTTTTGCTGTCTAGAAATCAGAATATTCTTTACTGTATATTCAAACACTCCCAAAATATACATATCTATAAATTATAGATTAATTTTATGCAATTTCTCATTTGCTATTTGAAATTAGTGCTACTGTGTAACATATTTTAGAATTTGCTTGTATATGCATAAGAAAGTCTAAAAAGATATACAAGAAACTGAGTGATTTACCCCCACCACCACCACCACCACTGGGAATTGAACACAGGGCCTTCGCACCAAACTACATCCCCAGATCCTTTTTAAATTTTTAATTCTGACAGGGTTTCACTAATTGTTAAGTTGTGCAGTCTAGTCTCTAGCTTAGAGTCCTCCTGCCTCAGCCTCCCAGAGTGCTGCAATTATACATGCACCACCATGCCCTGCTTAAGTGATTACTTCTAAGAAGAGACCTGAGCCTATGGGGGAAAGCAGTGGGACAGAGATTTTTTTT